ACCTGGGAGTGACACTATTTGAAAGGATTAGAAGGATTAAGAGGTCTGGCCTTATTGGAGGAAGTATGTCACTAGGGGTGGGCTTTGAGGTTTCAAAAGACCATGCCAGGCCCAGGCTTTCTCTCTGGCTGCTGATCAGGATATAGCTCTCAGCTACTTCCCCAGCACCTTGCCTGCCTACTGCATGGCCTCTGCCATGATGATAATGGGCTAAACCTCTGAAACTGTAAGCAATAAATGTTGTCCTTTATAAGACTTGCCTTGGTCATGGTGTCTCTTCACAGCAGCCGAACAGTGACTAAGACATAATGAATCAAGTATTTGGGTTTAATTTGCCACTATGGAAGATAAACATTTAGATCGCATGTATTTCTCTGTACTCATTTCATTGTGCGATTTCATTGCAGGAACGTTTTCCTTGCTGTTCCTTGCTCGTGTGTTATTTAGTCTGAGTATTGGGAAGATGAAGGAAAAGCTAACTTCCATATCCACCTTTACCTCGAGTCCCTGTCATTTGTCCCATCCTTTTTCTTTCTTTCTGAAACTCTTCAAACTAACAGAAGAGATGAGAACACAGTACAGTGAACACCCGCAACCCATCAGCAAAATGTAACGCACTCAGCACTGCCGCCTCAGTTTCCCTCTCCTTCCGCCGCATGTGGGGTGTGTGCTCTGGGTGACAGGAAAGCACCCCAGGATGTGACATCACCTGTCACCTCCACCAGGAAGCCCAGTCTCCTCAGTGCTCTCGGGTTTCCCTCTTGCTGAGCAGGTCTTAAGTTCAGCTAGAGAGCTGTGGATCACCACCAAGGTTGGAGTTTGTAGATGGTTCTTCATTCACTCATCCATTTTTCTTAGTTAGGTGCCCTAGCTTAATCAACACAGGAAGTTGAGAGAAGTGATGAGCACATGAAGGCATCACTGTATCTTTTGTTCAGTCTTCTCCATTAAATATGTGAGCTGTAGGCATCTCTGAAGTCTTCTGCGGCTGGGGAAGCTATCTTTACCTCTTGCCTGTAGAGTTTTTTTCTTTTTAACTTCAGTGGATCTTTTTTTCTTCTTGTTTTGTCTTTTATTCTACTAATATTGTACATTATACTGATCAATTTTTATACATCAAACCAATATTATAATGCTGGGATGACTTCTATTTGGTCATAGAATGTAATTATCTTTATATGTGGTTGAGTTTGGTTAGGTAGTAGAATTTTGCAGCTGTTTTCAAAAGGGATATTCTCTGTAGTCTTGTGATTTTTTGTTTGTACTTGGTATCCTAGTATTATTGACTTCAGAATGAATTGGCAAGTTTTCCTGGCTTTTCATTTTTCTTTACCTTGCCCTTTTCTTCATTAAAAAAATATTTGCTAAGTTTGGTAGTGGTCCCTGACTATTCATGAGCTGATCACTAATCACAGTTTCTGTAGCCATACTGTGTGCAGATTTGACCATGAGCTGTTGGTGTTCAGCTCACGATTAAACAGACTTCTGTAACTGCTTCAATCCTCAGTCTTTGAGTCTCCTGTAAGTGTTGTGACACACCTTGGCCTCTCCATTGTCAGCCGCGTGACTCTGCTCCAGCCTTCAGTTCTTGTACCTCTGTAGGGCTTCAGCTCAGCAGACAGGAGAGCCCGAGGCCTTGTTAGTTCTTCAGCTGCTCCTGTGCACAGCTCTGGACTTGTCTGTGTCCACAGCTCTGGACTTGTCTGTGTCCACAGCTCTGGACTTGTCTGTGTCCGCATGGGCCAGTGGTCTGCTGAGTTACCAGATCCCTCATGGACACTCCCTGCCAGCTTTTCCTTCAGGTTTTCTGGTTTGTGTATTATTTGTTCTAGTTATTTTCTACTGCCTTAGGAAGCTGCGAAATTCAACAGTTGCCTGAAATTTGTTTCAGTTTAGCACTGGGGACAGGGTTTTTTGTGCTAGAACTTTTGGACTTACCCTTGCTAATAAGATCTGTATGTCTATCTTACTAGTGTATATAAATAAGAACAGCTTTGCCGTCAAGTCTTCAGGCAGCTCTGAGAGCAAGTGAATAGTAATGCTTTGGGACTGTGGCTTGGACAGCCTTCTCACCCAGTTTCCCCCAGGCTACCGCTTTTCAGTCTCGTTGTGAACTCTTGGCTTTCCTTAATTCTGCAGCCCTAGACAGTGGGGCATGGGGCTAGCACACATGAAAACAGAGCTCCCGGGCCACCGTCGGATACTCCACAGCAGTTTTCTTACAGAGGTACTCCCCTGTCACTGCAGGCCTTGGGCTAGTTAACCATAGTCTTGTGTGTGCTGCTTCTGAAAAATTTCACAGTATTCTCATTGATTTTATGGAAAAGAGGTTCTTTATCACTTTTGCTCAGAATTTTTAGTTTTTTTTGTTTCTTTTTTTTTTTTTTTATAAGAAACTGCCAAATCATTATAGCTGTGCCACCTGACATTTCCCTGGTGTGGTAGAACTCTCCCTGCAGCAGGAACTGACAAAGTCCAGCTTGGCCTCAGACCTGCCGTGTAGACAAGAATGACCTAGACTCCTGACCCTCCTGCCTCTCTCTCTACCTGCCAAGTGCTGAGAAGCAGGCATGGACCACACGCCCAGCTTGTTAGTCACTGTGCCTGAGTGCGACAGATCCCTGACAGGAACACTTAGGCGGCGGTTCTCAGCCTTCCAACGCTGCGACCCTTTATACAGCTCCTCATGTTGTGGGGACCCCCAACCATAAAGTTATTTTCATTGCTGCTTCATAACTGTAATTTTGCTACTGTTATGAATGGTAATGGAAATATTTTTGGAGATAGAGGTTTGCTGAAGGGGCTGTGACCCACAGGTTGAGAACCACTAACTTAGGGGAAAGAGAGACTTTGGTTCACAGTTTCTGAGGGATCTCAGTGAGGAGCAGGGAAGGTACAGCAGCCTGGCTCACCTGGGGATGGTAGAGGCAGCTCTCCCACGTGCAGGCAGGCGGCAAAGACGGGGATGTAGACCATTAGTCAGACTGCTGCTTCTTCCCAGGCCCCTACCCGTGAGGTGGTGCCATGCACTCAAAGCATATCTTTCTCCTCAGCTAATTCTCACTGGAAATGCCCTCACAGACACACCCGAGGTGTGCCGCAGTCTCCTGGGTCACTCTTAGGTGGGTAAAATTGACAGTGAAGATTAGCAGTCACACCCAGTGAGGCTTCCCTCCTGGTGTTTGGTGGTGGTCCTGGGTCTCATTCCAGCAGCCATCCTGATGTGACTGGTTTACCACAGTGGGACTTCATTTGTGTTTCTCTAATGGCTGGAGATGGCGAACATCTTTTCATGTACCCACTTGTCATCTGAGCCTTGATTGTCTGTTTTTATGCTCAGATTTAATAGTCCTGATGTAGTCTAAGGTCTTCTTGTCCAGCCCGTTACAAGTCCTTCTCCCAGGACACAGTTTTGCAGAGGAAAAGCTGTCTGCCTCGATGAAATCCAGTGTCTCAGTTTCTGCTTCCGGGTTCTGTGCTTTGCTCTCAGATGGAGGAGCCTGGGACTCAGTGGTTTTCTCCTTCCCTGAGAGTCATGTTTCTGTTGTCTCAGTCACCTCCTGTGTGTTTCCATGACGTGTTTCTGGGATTAGCGTCTTAGTTGTTAGCCTTTCTATCCTTCCGCATTGTGGAGGCATTCACTACCCTCTGTCTGCAGTTTATCAAGACACACCTGTTTCTCTTAAACTTATTCCTTTGTGTGTAAGGTATATTTTTCTCCTCTTGATCAAGTTTGAAGAGTTTCCTTTGAAAATTTTAAAATTCATTTCTTTTTGTGGCGGTGGTCCTGGGGATGGCACCCAGGACTCTGCTCGCTGAGTACGCAGCCAGCCTTCCATGGAGCTGCCCCTCACAGCCCCGGGGCCTCCAGCTGTTTACACCACCTTGTAGGGACTTCATCTTGATTCTCTCATGGTTTTCTTTTCCCTCCTCTTTGAGTATACTGAGCTTCTAGTATTTATTTTCTTCACCTTTGCATGGTCTTTAACATTGTTGCAGCACGTGTTTCTAATGCCTCTACTGTCTTTGGCCTCTACTTGTGAGACTCCGGCATGCTCCTTGGGCTGTTTAATACATCCATACTCAGCATGGCTGTTCTTTTTCAGTGTCTTTCTGCAGGTGCTTCAGTTTTGATCAATTGTATTTTTCTGCCCTTGAGGTCAGTTAGTACATTAAATCCATCCAGTGGTTTTATATATCATGTATTTTCATTTTATATATGGATGTCTTTGATCTCTAGACATTTCATTTTTCTTTATATTTTATAGTTCTTAACATGTTCATAATTTTCATCTAAATACCACATCTTAGGGTTTCTGTTGCTGCAATAAAACACCATGACCAAAAAACAAGTTGGGGAGGAAAGGGTTTATTCAGCTTATACTTCCTTTATCATCAAAGGAAGTCAGGACAGGAACTCAAACAGGACAGGAACCTGGAGGCAGGAGCTGATACAGAGGCCACAGAGGGGTGCTGCTGGCTGGTTTGTTCCTCATGGCTTGCTCAGCCTGATTTCTTACAGAATCCAGGACCAGCAGCTTAGGGATGGGACCATCCACTATGGACTGGGCCTTCCTGCACTGATCACTAATTGAGAAAATGCCTCACAGCTGGATCTCATGGAGGCATTTCCTCAGCTGAGGCGCCTTCCTCTCTGACTAGCATGTGTCAGTTTGACACACAAAGCCAGCTGGTGCAGACCAGGATGTGATCATTATGGCTGTTTAAATGTCCTTGTTTGCCAGACATTTACTTAGTGGGTTTATTTGTGTCAATTGGTTTGTTTTTTTAAAGTTTTTACTAGTTTGGGGTCATTTTCCTCGTTGGATGATGTGTTCTATAAATTTTCCATAGTCTACATTTTATTGTCTTTTGAGTGTTGCTGTTTCCTGGCATTTTTTGTTTGGTTCTTGTATGAATTTCTTAGAACAGGAGGAATCTCGGATCTAAGGATAGGTTAGCTCTCTTTGCAAAGGCCCGGGCTGTCTAGGCTCTCCTTTGAATGCCCTGGGTGAGCGCAGGGTTTGGCAGTGTGCTTGAATGTGAGCCTGAGTCCAGAGAGCTCTGTGGGCCGCTCAGCTGATAGCTTTTCTCCTGCGCTTGCCCAGGGTTTCTCTTACACATGTGCATTTTATAATTTAGCAAAGAGTCAGGAAAGCCTGTAAGTTTTTGGGGCTGCTGTTTTTGGGGTGGGGTGGGGTGGAGCGAGGGGCAGTCCATCGTCTCCTGAACTCTTTTCCCTTGGCTGCTAGCTGACTGAGCTTCACAGTGGCTCCATAATCTAGGAATTCTCTTTCTGTGCCGTAGTCGCGAATTTCCTCCAAGCAGACAGTTAGGTGATGACGGGACTTGCCTTGCTGGTTCTATTCTTAGGAGACATAGTCTTAGTCACCTGTTGTCACTGTCTGAAAATAGTTGTTTCATAGATGCCATCTGTCTTTTGCTTGTTTCCAGCAAAGTCGGGTCAGTCTGGCCCTTATTACTCCATCGTGTCCAGAAGTGGAAGTCCTGTCCTTCAATTAAAAAGAAAACTTTTCACCGTGGAGTACACGTGTATACTAATGGTTAGGTATAAAGTTCAGGGCAGTTGTAAAGACAGCACAGAGTATGCCAGGATACTCCTCACCCAGTCTCCCCTGTGCTTAACATCGTGAACTCCATGGGACGTTGGTCAGCACTAGGAGACTGACATTACCATACTGAGTAAAAGTTTGTTTCAGTTATTAAAAAAACCAGACAAAATGACCAGGCCATTTGCCAAAGTGACTCTACCCACCAGTGGTGTTGGTACTAGCATTGAATTTGATTTCCCGCAGCATTTCAGCAAAACAGGATGAAAACAAGTTCCTTTGAAACATGACGGTTTCAGTTACTCTGAAATTAAAAAGAACTGATAGAATTGAAGGTCCTGAGCCTGTGACCACAAGCCTTACAGCTACACAAAGGCAGGCACAGGCACGTCACCTTCACTGACCTCTCTGACCTCCCTGTGACTTCCCTGTCATCAGTTCCTCTAACCCCCAGAGAGATGCCAACATGCTCTCTTTTGTGATTATAAATGAGGAGACCGAAGGTGTTGGGAATGTCCCTATGTATAAATTAGGAGACCGAAGGTGTTGGGAATGTCCCTATGTATAAATGAGGAGACCGAGGGTGTTGGGAATGTCCCCATGGTCATGTGACTGTAAGGACATAGTAAAGATAGTACAGTGTTCTGCTATACCTCTCACCCAGTTATCACAGAGGGGCTCGCTGCCTGTACTAAGTGGATTCTCATTTGGTTGTATCCTAAAACTATTTGTGGAATTCAGATTGTGTTGTATTTAATGCTTGATGGATGATCTTTTGTAGACCCTGATGGTTCCAGTGTTCAGTCAGGATTAGGAACACTGTAGTGCCATAGCCTCTTCACTGTAGACACATTTAGTGTATTAAAATGTGTTTTTAAATTTCAGTCACAATAGTGGATACTTTAGTATATATTGTGACTTGGACATTTTCATAGGTAGAACTCCAGGCAAGTGTTTTATTGAAACAGTTTTTAAAGCCCAGCTCTGCCTCTATTTTTATGTGATGGCATCTGGTTTTTCAGTACAACAAATGCACATTTGCATACTTCAGTGTGTGTGCCTGCACATTTATTTACAGTCTTTTGGCACAAAGAACCTTAATCAAGATGCTTCCAAAGTATTACGTTTAAAATGTGTAATCAATTCCTATACACAAAGCAAAGAATGAATCTATTCTGGAGTGTGCCCTTGGTTTAATTGTGTCACATGTTTATCAAACAAGGGCCTTGCTGCCTGACAAACATAGACGCCAATACTACAGCGTGGACTGTTGCCAAGAGACACGGCTGTGTCGCCCAGCCAACTGGCAAGAAGGCCGGGAGCTCTAGGCTCAGGCCCCTCTCTGTCAGTTGGTGGGACAGTGTTGGGAACAGGACAGGGATGCTGCTTGTCGGTCAGACGGTGGTCGGGTGTGCTTGTTTCTCTCTCTGGTTGTGGGGTGTTAGTTCTGCTGGGGCGTTTGAGCATGTGTTATTATCAGAATACTCGGCTGCTTCTCTTCATAACCGTTTTTGAAAAGCTGGTTTCAAACCTTAAGAACCATTAGTGAAAAGCCTTTAAGTATTTTTTGGGGGGAAAAAGCCTCACAGCTGAGTGTGTCTGGGCTTAGCTGATTTGAAAACCCACAGGTTAGCATCCTCTATAACACTGGTTTAATTTGGCATAGGAAAAGCTTCACAAAATTACTTTCTGTTTTTGTTATTCACTGACATTCACTAAAGATTTTTAGAGTGCAAAAGAAGTTTTCGAAGTTATGTTTTAAAATACTTTTGGAAATTTGACTGGTTTGAAAATAAAGTATTCTAAAAATCTAGTTTTCTTACCTCAAAATCAGTAATAAAACCTGTTTTCTTCTCTTCCTACTGTCTGATCTCTGGTAGTCATGGTGTTTGGCTCTATCTTGTTTCCGATGGTACCTGGAGTCTCCACCAGAGTGTGCCAAAGACACTTCAATGGGAAGTGTGATGACTCAGACTTGCCTGGACTTGCAGGTCTTTTTAAAGAAGTTCCATTTGCTGAGAAGGAAAATCTCTGTGCCTTGGCATCTGAGTGTCTACAGATGCATAGTGAACATTTAATCCCTGTTCTTGGGTTACAGTACACATGCCAACTAGAGATATCTTTAAGGGTTTATTTTTTTCGTATTTGAATGTTTTCCCTGTAAGTATGTATGGGCCGATGTGTGTGCCTGGTACCTGTGGAGTTAAGAAGAGGGTGTTTGATCCCTGAAACTGGAATTACAGACATTTATGAGCCACCAAGTGGGTCCTGGGAACTGAACCCAGGTCCCCTGTAAGTGTAACAAGTGGCTGTTAATGGCCGAGCCAGTTAGAAATATCTTTAGCTAAGTTACATTTTAGAAACCAAAACTGGTGTCTCCTCCTACTCACTAGGTATTGATATTTTTCTTACACAATAGATGTTTTTCTGAAAACTGAATAATTTAAATGGACTGCAGAAATTAGTAATCTTTTAATGAGGCTGAAAAATACCTCATGATTTTTTATATTAATGATTTTAAAATGACTGAGACAGAAGATGGATTTAATATTTGTGATTTAGCATAAGCTATTACTCTCAAGGTGTTGTTACTCAGCTGTTATCTGTGTTTTGGGTTGACATTACAGTATGAAAGGAAGTCTTACCTTATATTTGATAAGTTTTTAAACAGAGCTTGTATTAACTGCTTGTCTGGCAAAATACCGAATAATAACAGCTACTTCCCCCTTCTGTCACAGGTACCTTCACTCAAATAACATAGTTGTGGTTCCAGAAGGTAAGCTCACTTAGAATTTTTAGTTTGAAAACTATGTAGTTTATATTTTGCTTTATGAGTGGATGAAATTATCTCTTTAAACCCATTTTGGTTGGTGTGTTAGGGAATTTTAATCTAAAGGACTTTTTAATTTGTTGAGAATTATGACTAAATAGATAAGTCTAAAAGGACAATAAATGGCCAGGTAAATTACTAGATAAACTGCTGCCGGGAAACAGTGAAATAAGTACTAAATGGGACAAACTAAGAATTTAGTTACATATAAAATCATATATTCTTTAAAGT